GGGTCCAGGAGATACCCAGGAACACAGATGTGCACCGTTTCCCAGGCAGTGGGTGAACCAGAACAAGGCCGGCTCTGAAGGCGGGCGGCGAGGTCTGGGGTGGAAGTGGGGACTTCTTGGTGTAGGGCAGTGTGAAGGTATTTGAGTCCCACGTGAACGCACCCAGGGCATCCGCTATGGTAGTGGCTGTCGTGACCGAGTAGACAAAACAACACATTCCTCGTAGGACACGCAGTGCTTTTTTTCAGACACACTACAAACAGCTGTGGGGGCTCTGCATGCCCTGAAGAACATAAACTTTCCCCTCACTGCTGAGAGCCGAGGGAGCCAGCAGGAGAGACGGAGCCAAAAGGACGGAGCATCATTCCTGGTGAGAAGATGGGGGAATGTGGAAACAAGTTACAATCGTACAATATGGTGATGCAGAGATGTAAAAGGAGAAAGGAGAGCTGAGAGCTTAAAATAGTAACTAAAAATGTTAACTATTAAATAAAAGTAATCATATCATATTACAAAAGTGCACGCCTGTAATCCCAGCACTCGGGAGGCCGAGGCATGAGGATCAATGTGAGTTAGGCCAGCCTGGGCTACATAGTGAGGTCTTGGGAGCAAAGGTTTATTTTAGCTCACAGTTTGTAGAGGTTTCAGTCCTTCGTCAGCTGGCTCCAAAGCAGGACCACATGGCAGAGGGGCCTGGCAGAGAAGAAACAGTCAGCAGCATGCAGGAACCAGTGAACCGTCCTTCTTTCCCTTTTTATTTCACCCAGGCTGCAAGCCTATTGGTTGGGGCCATGGAACCCAGGGTGGGGGTTCCATTTTTAGTAAAACCATCAACCACACTCAGAACTTTGCCAAACCAATCAGTGGGCTAATCCAGTCACTCCAGGCATGCACGAAGCCTTAGGGGACATCTAGATACAAGCCATATCAGGGACATAAAGATGCAATATTAGTGCTCACTTCAGCAGCACATATACTAAAAAAGATGCAAGATTAAGGTATGATGGCTCAAGAGGGGTGGAGGGAGATATGAAAAGCCCAAGTGCTTTGTAGATTTCTTTTTTTGTGCTCCCTCCTTCCCTTCTTCCATCTCCCTCTCTCCCTTCCTTCCTCCTACCACAGTTATAAATGAATTTTACTTGTGATACACTAGATATATGTATATTAGTAAATATAACTGAAATACAAGTTCCATGAAATAATACAGTGCACTCTAAGACTATTCTATTTCATTCTTAATGCTGATAACAACCTTCTAAATTTGATTTAAAAGCCTCTCTTAGGAAACAACTTGTAGATTGAAAACTCTAATTGTACAAAATGCTAATCAGAACTCCAGATGTAAAGTGGGAGAGATTGGTGTTGACGTACCATTTAAAAGAGATATTTTCACATATGCTATAACACAGATAAAGCCCAGTGGGTGTCAAGCTAGATGATAAGCCAGTCACCAATGAATACATAGTGTGTGATTACACTTCTTTGAGGTACCTAAAATAGTCAAATTCATAGAGACAAGCTGTATACATAAAAAACGGCAGAGGGAGCCCCGTGTGGTGTCAACTATCTGTCCAGAGGCTGAAGCAGGAGGATCACTGCAAGTTCAAGGTCATCCTGGGCTCCACTGTGAGTTCAGGATCAGCTAAACTACATAGTGAAGCACTGACTCAAAAGAAAAAAACCTGGCAGATGGTAAATTCTATTTCACATGTACTCTGTATTTTTACCTCAGTGGAAAAAAAAATAGTAACTTAAGGAAAGCTGTTATCTGAGGATTTTTCAGAATGATGAAAGACACCAACCAGCAAAGTCAGAAAGCCCAAGGAATTCAAGGCAGGATAAATAAAAAGACACATCATGGTGGAACTGCAAAACACAAATATAGAGAGACAGTTCAGATATCTTTTGAAGGAATGAAGATGAGATTGTTGTCTGACTCCTGCAACGTAAACAGCGGGAGAAGAAGGAGACCGTGGACAGGGTCTTCCTCACTGTGGTGACAGAATGAGTTGCTGCTCTAGTAAGCCAGCCGCAGTGTCTTTAAGAACAAGGGCAATAAATAAAAGTCAATTTGCAGGGCCAGGGATTTAGCTCAGTGGTGCCGCCACCTGCCTTGTAAGTGCAAGGTTCCCAGTTTGATCCCCGGTACCAGAAAACCAAACAAACAACAAAAAACGTCAATTTACAGACAACAAAAACTACGTTGGTTCATACCAACCAGTTCTCACACAACCACCCATCCACGCACAAGATGTAAAGAATGTACCTCAGACACAAGGAGAGAGGTCACTTGTGTGTGTGAATTGAGGCATAAGAAGAAATGATAAGCAAAGAAATTAGTGTGTGCTAACTGCATAAAACAACTCAGCAACCTTGCATCAGGTTAAAATGGAGAAGACTGTCTACAACCAAGCCACCATGAACACGCTCAATGGCGTCTGAAATGGAAAACACTAAACAACATGTAAGGTACTACAATAAAGGAGTATAATTGTGGGGATAGATGATTAGAGTTAAGATATTTCAAAATTGTTACAGTTAAAGGGAGCAGGGTAAAGATATTTTAGTAGTTGGACTTCTTCCTCTCTCTTTTTTAGAAACAATTTTTGAGACAGGGTCTCATCACATAGTTCAGGCTGGACTTGAACTCAATATGTTGCCCAGGCTGGCCTCAAACTCACTGAAATCCTCCTGTCTCAGCCTCCCGAGTGCTGGGATTGTAGGTATGTGCTGCCATGCTCAGTTTAAAATTGGATTTTCATAAGACAAGCACTTGTAAAAATTTTTTAAATGACCATTAAGACAATAGAAATAGAGTGTGTCAAGAGAAGAAAAACAAACCCTAAAGAAGAAGGGTTGAAATAGTAAAACAGGCAAGACAGAAATAATAATATAGGATGATGGGAAAAATCAAGATATATCGGTAAATATAAATGGACTAAATGCTTCAGTTAAAAGACAAAGATTTTCCTATAAAAACGTTCTTAATTATGAAAAATTTCAAGAACACAGAAAGGTGGGAATAGTATGAAAAGCATCCATATTCCTGCCTTGTAGAGTCAATCATTGTGAAGAATTTTGCGTATTTACTTGGTAGTAAATGCAACTGTCTTGTGTGGTAAACGGTATATACCAAAATATGATTTCAACTGTAACAATGATGTAAAGTATCTTACTTTTGACGTTAAATAGATCTCGGTTCGCAGCAATTTTTAGGCATGTTATTTATTTGTGCGGTTACTTATTCAAAGGATGTCTCTTCACTAGATTCTAGCAAGAAGGTGGAATGAGGTGAATTTTTCTGATCATTGTGTTCTGCAGCTTTTCTTGCATAAATAAATGGTGTCTAATAATAAAGGATCCCGCACAGTGCTTGCTGCATGGTAAACATTTAAGGTGGAGCAGCTTTTATGACAGTTGTTTGTTGTTATTGAAAGAGTTCAGCAGAGTGGCAAAAAACTGAGTAAATCATAATTTGGTAATTTATTATATTTATAATTATCATTTACGATCCGTCACCCATAAACATTATGTTCACAACAAGAACTTGCATTATTATTCAGTCTCTAATAGTGCCTGGCACTAGACGAGCAAGAGGAAAGTGGGCATTTACACTTAATTATAATTTCTGAGGGCAGCACCTCACACAAGGGCTGGCCGGGCGGGGCTCGGCCACTTTCCTAGCGCGCAGACCCCGCCCCCCAACCCGCGCGAAGCCTCGCCCCCTATGCTCGCAGCCCCGACCCCGCG